CCTTATTATAGGTTGACCCAAGGGTACTAGCCTCAAGCACTTCTGTGGGGAATTAAATGAGCTGGCATATGTGAAGCGCCTTGTACAGTGCCTGACTCATGGTCTTAGGGTTATTACCGACTACTGCTACTAGTTGTCAAAATATATTTGAGGGACCCCAGTAGTTTAGAAATCCTGAATCTAAACACACCCCCTTCTGCATAATGGTCCTCTCGTCTTTATTTCTTTCAGCACTGATTGGTCGTTTTGACTGATCAGTTACCCAAGCTGGAGCCCCTGGGGCCTTCATATGCATTTAATCACAAAACCCTGTTGATTAGACCTCACATCTATGTCCTCCACTCCAATATGACTCTTACCCTTAACTGGGTCCTCACACAGCCACACTGATTACTCAGGAGCCCTCTTAACTGCTCACCTTGCTTTTGATTTCACCCTCTTCCAAAGAAGCCTTACTACTACTCAAGAGAACTTGTTAAAATCCAAAACAGATTATCATTTCCTTCTCAGACTCTTTCTGTGGCTCCCTCTGACTCTCAGTAAACAGCCAAGCCCAAATCCTTGATCATGACCCGCAGGGGCCCTCATTGATATGACCCCTGCCTACCTCTAGAACTTCATCGCTTGTGATTCTCAAGTCACCTCCAAGTCCCAGCAATGCAGCCCTGTACCCCAAATTCTCCTCCGTCTCCTGGTCCTCCATGACCATGCACATACACCTCTCAAAGTCTAGAACCCTGTGTCCCTATCTCCTGAAGAGTCAAAATTATGCTTAAAAAAACAAAAACAAAAACCCTCCAAACCACTTTCTTTGGGAAGCCTTCCTTTCCCAGGTCTGGGTTAGCTGCCCCTCCTCTGTTCTCCCACAGTAGCTTTGCTTACAAGATCGTGCTGCAGATTTTTGTTTTCGTGTCTATCTCCTTGACTAGCATCTGGCCTTCATCTACATCTTATTCATGCAGGTGCAGGAAGGGACTGTATCTTGTTCATCTTTGTATGTTCATATTGAAAAATGACTAGGAAGATGGATGGATGGATGGATGGATGGGTGGATAAATGGGCAAATGGGTAGATGGATGGATAGGTGAATGGTTGGATAGAATAGTGGATGGATGGATGGACGGACGGACGGATGGACAGACAGATGGGTAGAGGGTGGGTTTATGAATGGATAATGGATAGATAAACGAAGGAATTCAATAAAGTGGCAAAAACCTCTAATTAGGTCTTGCAGCCATCAGTGGTACTGCAGAGACAAGGCTCTCTTTCTTGGAGCTTCACAGTTCAGGCCGAAAAGCAGAATGACCTTGCAACTAGCAGCCAGTGGGTTTTTTTGACCTGGACGCTCCCCATTGTTCCAGCAGGAAGGCTGAGAAGGAGTGTTGATCCTAGAGAGAGAGAGGACACCAAGGTGGCCTTTATCCCATCACTGACCCAGCCTATAGCCTTTCTGCCGACCTCCTCAGGTCTGCCCTCATACGGGTCCCGTTCGGTCCTTTTCTTCATCCAGGCATCATGGATTTATTTCCAGCTTGAACTGTGGCAGATTTCCGCCTCTGATTCCAGGGTGACAGAGCAGCAGATGGCATGAGTACGGAGGATGCCTTGACCAATAGCCGCTGTGTGCGGCCCAGCGCTTACCCGTTCCTCTGTCAGGAGAACAGCACGTTTCACTCTGTTCGTTTTCCTGTTCAGGAGCTGCTCTTAGAGCAGCCGCGTGAGAAGTTCACCTTATGCAGCTTGGAGCCTTTCTCAGCTCTTCGAGGAAGACCTTTCAGGCTGACTTGGTTCACTAAATAAACACAAATAAATCCTGGAATGGAATGAACTAGAAATGAAATGTCGTGTCGAGCTCCTCTCGATACAGAGAACCAGCATGCGGCCCGCCCAAGCCGAAGTGGAAAGACCCTGAGGCTTTTGGGAGAAGAGCCCAGCTCAGCCACCCTGGAATCCTCATTCAGGGTTTATGAAGCAGCAGGCAGCACACAACTGACTAAATTTGGTTGTGTTTTTATTTTTGTCCAGCCACAAATACCGGCAAAGAACTGAAAACGATTCCTTCCCTTCCTGGAGCCTCGGAGCCAAGCTGGTTTTATTTTTAGCTTCAACTCTGGCTTTGAGCTTTTAGGGCACTCAATACCCTCCCCACTGCGGGCAGCAGTGGGCCGATTTCGGGACTTTTGCCTAAACTGGAGCATTGGTTGTCTGAGTGTAACTCTCACCAGGCTTTGTGCAGCTGTGGCAACAGAGGGTGGTTCCAGACAGACCCACCTAGAGACCCGCTTCTACTCTTGGGGACTCCAAGAGCATCCTTTTCAGGGAGGGAAACGTACTCAGGGTGGATGGTTGCCTGGGCTGGGGCAGCAGAGGTGGCAACCCTGGATGAAAGGAAGCAGAGGCAAAAAGAAGACTGGGGAGGGGAGAAAAGAAGGGGAAGGCAGCTGTCACAGATTGAAAGCCTTCGAGGAGCACAGTGGTTCGGAACCAGGCTCTGGAGGCAGACCCTCTGGGTCTACATCCTGCCTCCGCCACTTCCTGTCACAGTGGCCTTGCAGAATGGGCTCAACCGCTCCAGGCGTCGCTGTCTTTATCTGTGAGATGTGGGTAATTATGACACCAGCCTCTGAGCTGCGCTGCCTGAGATCCTACCCCTCTAGCACGTGGTGTAGTGCCTGACACGCATTTGTGCCGCAGCTCATTTCAGTTATTATTGCCATGCTCTCATTGCAGTGCTAGACACTTATGCATACAGTGTGTCATTAAAACTTACTGTAACTCACTGAGTAGGGTTATTAGACAGATGGAAAACGGAGGGTCAGGGAGCTGGGTAACTTCCCCGAGGTCCCATGGCGAGAGCATGATAGAGCCAGACCTGAACCCAGCGTGACCAACCCCAAAGTCATAGCACCACACCTTCTCTGGGACCAGTGCTTCCCTGTGTTAGAAAGGGGCTTATCACTGGCTCTATGAGAACTGCTCTAGACAAGGAGCTAGACTCCCCCTCCTCTCCTCTGGACTCCCCCCTTTTCTTCCCACGTTCGTGACAGGAACACACAAAGAGCAGATACTGGGAGTGATCAAAAGAGCACTGGTCAAATCCATAGAGACAGAAAATAGAATGGTGGCTGCCAGGGACGAGGGGAGGGGCCCTGGGGTGCTGTTGTTTAATGGGTACAGCGTTTCAGATTTGCAAGATGAAAAAGCTGTGAACATCTGCCGCACAGCAGTGAGAATATACTTAACACTACAGAACTGGACGCTTAAAATATGGCGAAGATGGTCAATTTTATGTTAGGGCTTTCGTTTTAACCACAATTAAACAAACGAAAACAAAACAAAACAAAAAAGAGCACAGGGAGGCAGGTCGCCGTTTTGGTGGGGCAGGGAATTTGAGCTTATCTTGTCCAACTTGCCAGCCTTTTCTCAGTCTTCCTTCCAGTCAGGAGTGTCACCAGCAGCTCCGCTGGTCCACCCCTGCCCCGCACCACGTGGACCCCTTCAGGGCTGAGCTGCACACTTCTGACTTGAGGTGGTGAATGCTCCTCTCACATGCTCTGCCCTTTCAAACTTCCTTCTAGTTCCCTGTCCCTCTGAAGTTTTTGTCCTTCAGCCTGGAACGAAAAGGGGAAAATAGCAATCCCCCCCCGACCCCCAGGGGATCATGTCTGCATGATGTGGTGGAGGAAGTGTGGGCTTCGGGGACAGAAGCTGGGAAAAAGCTCACCTTCTCTTCTCTTCAGTTCGCTTAGCTCTAAGATGGGATAATACATTTTTCCACGTAGCCAAATATGCACAGTTTAAGCGGAGAAGTTCAGCCGGGCTGTAAACTGCTCTTTTGCACGAGGAGATTCTGGAGAGTGAGATTCTGAGGATTCTGGGGACAGGAGATTTGGGGACACTGGTTTGGGCTTCCCTGATTAGGCTGCGTAAAGATGCTTGGACAGAGAGGCCTGGGAATGAGCATGGGACAGGCTTTCCCTCTTGGCCTCACACTCCCGGGAGAGCAGGCTTCATGGAGACCACAGTGACTTACGGTCCCTCGGAAACTCAGATGGCCTTTTCTGTGGGCATCAGCATGGACCGTCCTCACGAGAGAGTCTGGCTCTGATGCCACCACCCAACGTGGGACACCCCTCCTGGGCTGAGTTTTGCCTCCGGGTCTACACACCTAGACCGTGATCCCTGACCCAGGGCCGACTTTGCCATTAGGTACAGCGGGGACAGCACCCGGGGCTGACAGTACTTTTTAGGGACCCATGAAAATGGTTTAATTTCTTTGAAAATTAGGGGAAAGGAATGAGTGTTCAGGTCAAAGTAAATGTTATATAATATTAATATATTTGGTTTTACACCAACACAGTTATAAAATACAATATTTAATTTTTTTAAATAGGGGAAGGGGCCCACAAAGGCAAAAATGCCCAGGGTCCATGGCGGTCATAACGCAGCCCAGCTCTGGTCTGAAAAGCCAGGCTGGCGGGGACTACATTTGGCCCTTTAACCCCTGGTGATCTGTCCCACCCTCTTCTCTGTTCCTATAACGACTGCTCTCTGTCCCACCTGTCCTCACCACTTAGGATCTGGAATATTCTCTCTGGTATTTTGTTTATTTTTAGAGACCCATTTCACATGCCCATTCCATCACTTGGCAATAGCTAGCTATCGCAGGCACATGTTGAGAAAAGTTCAAAAGCCTGTCTGAGGTTCGTGGGAAAGAATGTCACGATCAGTTAGTGATGCCTCTCCGGGGCTCGTGAAGGGGGGTGTGGCAGCAAGCATGTTGTGTTCCTGCTTCCGACTGACCTTTGCCTTTTTGTCGCCAACTTGACTCCCAGCTCCGCGAGTTAAGAGTGTGCCTTACACGTGCTGAGCATCCCACGTTGAAAGATCTAGAAGCCTCTTAATACCTGTTGATCGATTGACCGAAGGGGTGTCTGTAAATACTCTTGATCCCGTTTCATGTCCCCTTGACATCTTTTCATTCTTTTTTCCCCCTTCAGGCGCCTGAACAAGAATAAACTCCAGGTCCTCCCGGAACTGCTTTTCCAGAGCAACCCGAGGCTCACCAGACTGTGAGTAGAATGGAGTTGTGTTCCCTACCTGGTGTCTTGCCCGGCTTTGCTGACGCCGAGGATGCGGTTGCCTTAGCGTGGGGCGCCCTGAGCCGTGTGGACCTTGGCAGTGAGTCCGCGCATGTGGGCGCTTGGAGCCAGGCTTCAGCGTGCTGGGTCCTCACACTCCCCTCCAGCCCGCCTTTCTTGCGTCCGTCCTTCCCAGATCATCCGCTTAAGTGGCCGTGGCCGGTGAGGGCTGTGGACCTGTGGTAGTGCATCTCTCCTTTGCAAGGAGGGAGGAAACTTCCTTTTAACTTCGGTCTGAATTAACCTCAGGGAAATGCCCTGAGGGTAGGCTTGGAGGTGAATCGATTCACACAGGACTGCCAGCGGTCTCAGAGGAGGGCAGTGGTTTGGGTTAAGCATTTCAACCTCACGTCCTTGCTGGCTAGAAGGATTCCTGCCCTTCGCCTGCTTCCTACCGCTGCCAGTCCGGGAACCCTGGGTCTGGAGATCTGTGATTTTGTGGGAAAAGAAAGAAACACTTTGAATTTTGCTTTATCTTCAGAATGGTCCAGAGTATGATGGGGGGTGGGGGAGACTTGCAGATTCTCTGTGTATTTATTCAGCGTGAGAGTTTGGATACTGAAGAGCTGGAGATGCACGTCGCGATGGAGATTGTGATTCGTAGATTGGGGTTATTAGGCAAGTGCTAATTACTGACAGTGAACAACTCCATGACTTTGAACCTGAAAGTCCTACCGGCAGTAGCTAGTGTGCATTATGGGGTGAATTGGTTGCCCAAGGCTTGACTTTCTGGCTGGAGCAACAAGTGTCCGGCTGCTTAGCAGTCAGACAGTGAGATTTACGGCCTGGCTGCGAGGACTCTAACCTTACTGGGGAGGCTGCAAAGTGGTAGCCACCCTTCTCATTTCCAATGGCTGTGTTTAATACCTCCGTATGCAGTCCGCCGATGCATGTAGATAAATTGGGAAATACGACAGGCATGTTTGCATGTGCACTTAAGAATGAGTTCTGAATTAGGAATCTGTATCTCTCTCTGTACACACACACAGAGACTATATACATAAATGTACTTTCAAGGGCACTTGGCTGCAACAAGAACGGGCTGGGGTTGGCTGGGGTTTCAAGGGTACCGCGGCCTTCTCTAGGGGATACCTGTACTTTGTCACGGTCTCCCCTTGCTGGTACTCCCTTTCTCTTGCTCAGGCCACCCGGCTGACTGTGCTAAATGAGGGAAAGA